TCACACTTGGTAAAGGCGCTCTGATTAAAATATTCATTGACTTTAAGACGGTGGCTTTCAGAGTTCAAGATATATGCCAGAACACCCATGACATCTTGGCCTCGCCAGCTGCTAATATTTAACTCACCTAAAAATAGAAATGATTAGGCTGCCCTTTAATCATATTCATGTCTTTCAAAGATGTTTTGCAAATTGTTCATGCTGCTCTTTTCCATAGTACGAAAGAATACAATGATCAGACGATATAAAGCTTCAAATAGAGGATAAATGCACTATAATGGAAGCTTGAAATTGAGCCCCAGGCCAGCTCTGTTATTTGCAGAAAATCTTCCACTTTACAAAATCTTCTGCATACATTCATCAAAGAAACATCTTGATGTGGCAATTTTAATATGGAAGCACAAACTGTGGACAGTTTGCTACACAAGGCTATGGCTTCAAACGATTTGGAGTATAAAGTACAATCAGTATGAACTACTGTTATGATACCTTTTTCGATAGCCTCTAGTTATCATATGCTTATTTGTATGAAAATGGACATTGTGAACACATTTCAAAACATCTCTATATGCCAGAACACCCATGACATCTTGGCCTCGCCAGCTGCTAATATTTAACTCACCTAAAAATAGAAATGATTAGGCTGCCCTTTAATCATATTCATGTCTTTCAAAGATGTTTTGCAAATTGTTCATGCTGCTCTTTTCCATAGTACGAAAGAATACAATGATCAGACGATATAAAGCTTCAAATAGAGGATAAATGCACTATAATGGAAGCTTGAAATTGAGCCCCAGGCCAGCTCTGTTATTTGCAGAAAATCTTCCACTTTACAAAATCTTCTGCATACATTCATCAAAGAAACATCTTGATGTGGCAATTTTAATATGGAAGCACAAACTGTGGACAGTTTGCTACACAAGGCTATGGCTTCAAAAGATTTGGAGTATAAAGTACAATCAGTATGAACTACTGTTATGATACCTTTTTCGATAGCCTCTAGTTATCATATGCTTATTTGTATGAAAATGGACATTGTGAACACATTTCAAAACATCTCTTTTTGAGTTCCACAGAAGAAAGAATGTCATACAGGTTTGGAACAAGAGACCGTGTCGCTATTTCGTTGGTATGTAACCCAAACTCTATCTATATTCAGTCCAAGTGTTATGAGTCTGTCTGACAGAACATGCATTTTTACTGGGTCCTTTCCTAAGTCTATTGCCACAAATGCAATGCTTACATACAGAAATTTATGATTCAGGAAATCTTATTAGTATGTTTTCACATGGAAAGCACTGGAAATTTCATTACCAAGTAATGAGTGATCTTGTTTTCTGTTTGTATTCATGTTTGATGTGTGATATCACGCTTTTAACCTCTTATTGCACACACATCGCATGCCATTTCTAAAAATAAACAGTTATCATGCTGCAAACCCAGTGGTTGCTAGGGTAACTCAACTTGTTTTGTGCGGCATGGACCAGCTGAGTGTTTGTCAAATGCATTCATTAATGGGCCCAGAAAGTCTGTGACTACACTGCAAAATCATTTTTGTAATCAGTATTTTTGTCATGTCTTTTTAGTAAAAAAATATCTAAACACTTAAAACAAGATGCATTTACTAGAGATGCAAAATTGTGTAATATAAGCTATTAAGACTTGTCTTAAGAGAAAATATCTTGTTATTTAAGAGTATTTTCTGTTACTAATTTCATGATACATTCTCTTAAAACATGTCTTATTTTAAATAATTTTGATCCCCAAGTAAATTGACCTTATCTTAAAAGTCTTTAGATATTGTTACTGAAAAAAAGACAAAAATACTTACTGCATATATTGTTCTTGTTAGAACATGATGCTTTCCTTCTAATTTCTCTGAAATGTTTCCTGAGAAGACCCTGTCATAATGCTCACTCTGAAAAGGCAAACATCTGAACGTCTGGGTGATCCTTGCAGCTTTCATTGTGTGCAGCATGCCATTCAATAGTCCCACCCATCCCATGATCCCCCACTTCTCTGCACTTTCACTCCGCCAGCTCCGATCACCCCTCTCCCAGCCCATAACTCCCCTCCACCAAGAGCTAAAACTGGAAATCCTAAAAATAGAATGAAAGATCTTTCACTGAAGGAAGAAAAAACACCTGAAGTCTGAAATAGCAGGAATAGTCTGTCAATATACTATTTATATTCTGAAACATAAGAGCGAAGAGTCACAATATGACTGATGCTCATGCAGTTTTCATTTGCATTTCCATTTATGGAAAGGAGACCTAAAACAAATAGGGCTGAAAAGCAATCAAGTTATTTCTAAAGCAAGTAGCTGGATGATTCTATATTTAGGGATACATCTGACATCAACCAAAGTAAAAAAATTAAATGAACTTTCTTAACAAAACATGTAGTGCCTTCAGTGTACCGTATGTAATTGCAAAACTTAAACAGCAGTTTTTTATATTACTAGATAGTCTGTTACATTTGAAGTTATGCATTTCGATAAACACTGGTTTAAAAGTGTTCTTTGCAGGTATACAGTATGTCTGATATTTTCTGTACGATCATTAAAGACAGTAACATGATGCATTATAAATAATTTGCTTCTAACATCCTTCCCTAAATATCAATAATGATGAGATTCTAGTTCATGCTTTTATCACCTCCTGACCCAATTATTGTAATTCTGTCTTCTATGATTTGCCCATCAAGCCAATTAATAAGCTTCAATGTATCTAGAATTCTGTATCCCAGGTCCTAACCTTTACTAAGAAATCTTACACATGGTCTTGTCCCTCAGTAAATTTCAGATCTCATTCATCCCTACACCCAAGTCTGAACATTAAGGTCTCCTGATACTGGTTTACTACTGATAAATAAAAGGTAACTTGACTTGACTTGACAGCCAGGTCAATCAAGTTATGGATGGAGGACCACCAGATCAAGACCCTGTCATGGTCAGCCCAATCTCCAGACCTGAATTTGAAAACCTCTGGAATGTGATCAAGAGAAAGATGGATGGTCACAAGCCACCACATCAAACCGGGTTGCTTGAATTTTTGTGTCAGGAGTGGCATAAATTCACCCAACAGCAATGTGAAAGAGCATCCCAAGATGCATGAAAGCTGTGATTGAAAATCAGTGTTATTCCACCAAATACTGATTTAAGTTCAATAAGTTAGATAACTTAAAACATTAGTATTGTGTTGTTTAAAAATGAATGTGGACTTGTTTTCTTTGCATTATATGAGGTCTGAAAACACTGCATCTTTTTGCAAATAAATGTTCTAAATGACGATATGTTTATTTGGAATTTGGGAGAAATGGTGTCAGTAGTAGTTTAAAGAATAAAATATAAATGTTAATTTTACTAAAACATACCTACCATATTTTAATACATTTATTTCATACTAAGTATACTTCAAATCCTGACATGTTAGATGTATCACTTAAGACTTATTGATATAAAATTATAATTAAACTTTATTTGTTTTTTTATTGCACAATGCACATTTAATATTATGCCTAAAATGTGTTTTAATATCACTATTAATAAGGATTGTATGATCTCTGTATAGTATGCAATATAAAAGGCAAGATATTTAAAGTGTACCTGAAGTATACTTGCAATAGTTCCACTTTAGCTCAATCAAATATACTCAAGTATATCTTCAGTTAGAACTCAGCACTACTTCCGCAAAATTAAAGTGCTTTAAGCACAAAATTAGTTGTTCCAATTTTGCAGGCATTAAGTATTAGTAGAGTTTAGTTTACCAAAAGTACAACTGCAATATTTCAAATACATTTAAGTATATTTTTCACTAGGGTATAAATAGTAAAACTGGAGAAACTGAGAATTTTGCAGAGGCTTTTTCCAGAGCTGTATATACAAATAAACAAATACAGATGTTTATTAACATTTTATGTTCCTTTTGAAATCTGACATTTTGAAAAGCAAGATCATTTAAATAAAATAAACGGAATACAATTTAAAAAATGGTGATCATTTTTGGGAATAAGCATTAATTTTACCCCAAATTATAGAATCACCCAGCTGCTTCTGGACTCAGTATGCACAAACAACAGAGTAGGTTGTGTATCGATGCTGCACAGTGTGGCTATTATGAGTTTTCAGTAGGGAGCTGAGAATGCCAGCATCTATGGAGCTTACCTTCTGTCACTACCATATCGGTGGCGTACTCTGCATGCATGCTTACAGCCAAAATGATGATTGATTGGCCTTCTGTTCAAGAATGAATATCTGCCTGAGGCCAATCTTATGTAAATCCTTTATTTGTTGCATAAGTCATGTGCTCATGAGGGTCTTGGGGCACATATTTTATTACATCATTACATGACCCAAAATATTTATTATATAATGACTGATTCAGGTGTTTTCTCACAACCAAATTACAAATCAAATAACACACAAATAAACTACTCATTAGGGTACGCCTAAACTTCAACACATGGTCCTTTTGGTCTTTGTGGGGTAGACTGTGATCAGACTGTGATGCAGTAACTGCATTTGAAATAAATGTAAACTTATATTTTTATTTAATTGCAAATAACACAAAAGTGCAACAAAACATTGTAATCAGTTCACACCTAAATTATACTATTTCCTTACTTATTTTTCACTTGACATTTTGCAGTAGGCATTCTTAATTTTGCATTCTTTTATTGGGTGCTCTACAACCAGTACAGCCCTGTTCTGCCATGATGAATGGAAAGACCAAGGACTGAAAGCATCACCCTCAAGAAGACAATTTCAAATAATCATCCATAGTCTTTTGTGCTGCCTCATGTTAGGAAACAATCTTGAAATGTAGGTCACCAAGTCCTGTCTCATGCACATGACTCAGAATACATACTAGACAGCGCTTTTTACACTAAAACGTAATTTAAGGTTTGTTTGTTTTTGTCTCAAAAGTGTTACATTCACATTATATTCATCAATATTCCTATATCACAGTACATACATGTATAAACTCTGCATTACTCACCTTCAGCGGTGGCACTAGAAGGGGCTTGTTTTCTTTGTCCAGGGAGATGTAGGTGAAGAAGGCTGTGACAGCCCTATATTTTCCCTTCTCAGCCTCCACCAGTGGGTCAGCGTCAACGAAAACCTCAATCTCTATTGACTTATTACTGGTGAAGGTCATTCGGCCGGAAACAGTAATGACACAGCCTGCAGGGACACATCATGTCAGGTATTACATCTACTGATATTACATGATGCCGCATTCATTGTAAGACAAAGGTGTCCACAGAATTAAACAGCCTGCTGATATCGAGCTTTTCTGGTGGGACACTAAGTGCTACAGTAAGCAGGAAAGTTTATGTACTATGTATACACTAATCTAATAAATGTACAATAACAACACAGTTACAGATTTAATGTGGCAACCTTGTTATTATGATTAATTAATGAGTACATAAACAGTGGGTTCTAACTACAATTCAATGTGGAGACTCAACTAAAAATAAGCTATTTGTAGAAACATTGTCTGTTATTTTTTTTCCCCCAGTTATTATACATTTTTTTTAGTGGTCTGACGTGTCATCTGTCATCTAAGGAATCAAATAAAATAGCTGTAGTCACAAGGATTTCAGAGACCTGTGCCTAATGTGATGCCTGCCCTTGTTTAAAGGGGTCATTTGATGTTGCTAAAAAGAACCTTATTTTGTGTATTTGGTGTAATGAAATGTGTTTATGCGGTTTAAAGTAAAAAAAACACATTATTTTCCACATACTGTACATTATTGTTTCTCCTCTATGCCCCGCATTTCTGAAATGCATTGATTTTTACAAAGCTCATCGTTCTGAAAAGCGAGGTGTGCTGATTGGCTAGCTATCCAGTGCGTTGTGATTGGCTGAATACCTCAAGCGTGTGACGGAAATGTTACGCCCCTTACCATACTGTGATGCTATGTCCGGCCAGAGCGACGAGAAAAAAACATTAAAACCCATTATAAACGAGGCATTTGTTGCATCCAGTGGGGACATAATTACGGATTATAATGACTTGTACTGTCTTTTTACGCGTTGCGTATCGCGCCACATAAACATAAAACCATGTCTGCATTTGTGATCTGAGAAGCGGCAAACAACAAGCGCTACTCTACACTGCTCAAAACTCGCGTTTGAATCGTCAGTGGCAAATTCTTTAAATATGAAAACGTACTTACAGGCTGTGAGTCAGAAGCACCAGACTGTCCTTGCAAAGTTGGAATTGCCCCACTTTATAGAAACAACCTTTGTGCACAGCCGGCATTGTAGGCTACTTTCCCAGGATCAGGAAGCAGTCCTCCGTAAAATGCGCTGCACTCATCTGAACATTTGGTTTGCACTGTTCTGGAACAGTGTTGTAAATACAACTTAACCACTGATTATTAGTCATTTCCTCTTTTGGAAGACCAAACAAAGTAGTTTAGCTTTCACAACCAAACACACAGCATCTTCACGACATGGCGGCGGCAGCAACCATACTACAGCGAGAATCAAAGTTACGCCTTCTTGCTTTGCGTGAACATTTGGGTGGTGCTATGCAAATCTTCCCACACAGTGACGTAGACATGTGGGGGCGTGTTTAAACGAGGCGTTTTAGGAGGGCGTGGACAAGTCTTAACTTTTTTAAAGAATATCTCTTTGGGTTTGAGACTTTAGTCTTTGCAATTTTAGGGATCTTATCTATGCAGATAAGATCTAACAGCTTGTAACACTCCAAAGAGAAAGGAAAACTTGAAATTGCATCATATGATCCCTTTTAATGTATGTATGTTTAATAATGTTTAATAAATGCATGTTTAAATACTTTTCATTTATCTGGTCGACACTTTTATTAAAAGAGACTTGTTCAAGGTACAATATACATGTATACATTTGATCATTACTGTACGTGTGTTCCACCAGTTGAGTTATTTGAACTCTAGTAAGACTAGCTATGTTATTAAATCTTGCTTTAACTAGCATTATAGGCATTATCTCAAGTGTTATTTTACCAGAGATGGAGAGAAAGAGTGCTCAGGAAACCAGTTTGAAAATAGTCATTGTTTTTGTGTATTTATTTTGTGTTTCTAGTGCAGGGGTGCCCAACCCTGCTCCTGGCGATCGACTGTCCTGCAAAGTTTAGCTCCAACTCTAATCAAAGACACCTGCCTTTAATTTTTAAGTGATCCTGAAGACCCTAATTAGTTGCTTCAGGTGTGTTTGATTAGGGTTGGAGCTGAACTTTGCAGGACAGTCGATCGCCAGGAGCAGGGTTGGGCACCCCTGTTCTAGTGGCACAGCCATTACACACTTCCTTGGTACAGGCTGATTTATGTTGTATTTTAACCAAAGTTGGGTGTGGAAATTGCTGCCTAATATCTCTTTTTAGATTGTCTGCATAGGTCCAATAGCTCCAGATTTATCGATCAACCTAGATTGGTCCATATTTTTCTTTAAAGGAACTTGACTCTTCTGTAGTTACATCGTGTACACCGTTTTCGAATCCATTCAGCCGATCTCCGGGTCTGGTGGAGCTTTTTAGAACTTTTAGCTGTAGCTTAGCATAGATCATTGAATCTGATTAGACCGTTAGCATCTCGCTCAAAAATGACCAAAGAGTTTCTATATTTTTCCTATTTAAAACTTGACTCTTCTGGACGGAAAATGAAAATCGGCCTAGAAAATCGCAACTTTTCATTTTCCGTCTGTCTTTTAGTACACGATGTAACTACAGAAGAGTCAAGTTTTAAATAGGAAAAATATTGAAACTCTTTGGTCATTTTTGAGCGAGATGCTAACGGTCTAATCCAGGGGTGGCGAACTCCGATCCTGGAGAGCCGCAGCCCTGCAGAGTTCAGCTCCAACCCTAATTAAAACTCAGCTGCCTGTAGCTTTCTAGTAACCCTTCAGACCTTGATTAGCTTGTTCAGGTGTGTTTGACCCCTGGTCTAATCAGATTCAATTATCTATGCTAAGCTACAGCTAAAAGTGCTAAAAAGCTCCACCAGACCCGGAGATCGGCTGAATGGATTAGAAAACGGTAAAACTCAACTGTTAACTATAGGGGAGTTGGAAAATGAGCCTATTTTTTTACTTTTATAGTAGCCTAATGGTTTTTGAGCATGAGTGCATGTCACGCAACCTGTCCATGTTGGCTCCTGTCTACTTCGGCTAGAATCTACCAAGTGAAAGATGATTTTGCATCAAAATAATGAACTACTTTCTCTCCTTTCTATTTAAGCTATATTATTATTTTGCTGCTCTAACTATTCAGAATGCGCATTTTGTTGCATTTTTTACTTGCATTTAGTAGGATGGTAAGATTCACCGATTTGCATTGGTGCATCGGCATAAAAGTTAAGGATGCGATGCATCGATTTATAAAACTGTGCATCGAATGCAAGTTGGCATTTGTATCACGTTGCATAATTTCTAACATATGGTATAACCCAATTTATTTATATATAATTATTAGTAGATATGCTATACTTTTATTATTTAGAAAGTGACAATTTGTGACCAATATTTTATATGTATTGATTTCTCATTTCTAAACGGTTTCAACTGTTTCGAAATCGCATCGCACTAGGTAATAGGGGTAAATCGTATCACATCAGTAGCTGTTTCATATGTATCTGTAATGTATTGTATCGTTGGCTATGCATCGAGATGCGTACTGCATCGACCTCAGTAATGGAGAAGCACATCCATTGCATTTGGTATAATTTTTCTCTGATGTTTCTCTGAACCAGACTAGTTATGATCAGATCAGAATGAGCTCTTGGGTTGTGGCTCACCATTTGGCAACCACTGGTGTAATGTATTGTGCAACTTACACACTTTAATTGTAACTATGTGTAAAGCTCATAACTAACACACAAACACACAAAAAAAGATAAAACGTTTCCAGTCCGCATGGAGAATGAGAGAATTAATGAGGCTGCGTGAATGTGCAGAAGGTTGTTGTGGGTGGGGGTGACCATCCTTGTAGCCCCCTCCAAACTAACAATTATTGCTCGCAGCTTCCTATATCCGATGACTCTGATCTGATCTCACTTTAATTTTTTTTTTTATTTCACTGGCCCTGTCAGTGATGCGGCTTTGTAACACAGCCCAGGAATGGACAGACCTCATTATCCCTTATATAGCACATACTCTTAATGGATTCTGGGAAAAACTAATGCTTAAATGAACCTTTACACATTTAATGGAACTCTGAGGTAGATGCAGAATGGCTTAATAAGACCTCAGGACTCTGAATTGCTAGTTACAGTGTAGAAAAGTGGATCTTGCCAATTTAAAAAGCATTCATGGCAATTTGTCGTTTAGAACAAGGCTGAGAAAAAGAGGATGGTTGAAATTGTTAGGTCCATTTCCTGCCCTCTTTGATGTATACGTAGAATCTTTATTTCCATGGAAACAGAGCCTGAGGGCAGATATATTATTTTGTTCTATCGTTCCTTCACTCTCTTTCCAGTCAATGCATCTGGTCTCTTAGGAAAAATGAACAGTTGGCCTATATATAATACCAGACATAAGGGCCTTTCACACCACGGGAACCTTTTCATAGTACCAGAACTAATTGTGGAACTACCTACTTTTTGGCATTTTCGCACCGCCGGAAATGGGCGCGATTTTAGTACCGGACTGCCTTTTTCGAGAACCAAATTAGCTCCTACTCCGGAGCAGGGTCTAACCAGCACAACTGGTACTAATCGTGACATAAGTAGACATTGATTTGCTAAACACATACAAAAACGCCCTCACCCTCCATGATTTAAAACGCAGTGTAAACATACTGTAAACATTGTGTCAAATTATTTCGCAAGTATGGAGAACAGCGATAGATGGACGGTCCCTGAAGTGCAGGCATTTGTAGCAAATGTAGCACTGCCAGTTGTCGTTGGAGATTCTTAGTCCTCCTTTCCGTTCTTTCAATCGCTTTACGTATACGTCGAGTTTCCATGTCCATTATTGTGAAACCCACGAGACATAACAAAAACAGCTCCGATCACAGCGTCCTCCATCCTCTCCTGTTGTTAATGTTGTTCTTCTTTGTTTTGGTTGTTGAACGCCGCGCACAAATGACGATGCTGTCGACCGGCTTACGTCACTTCTTAGTACACACTCTCAGTGCGAATGCAACCCTTTAAATGGTACTGGGAAATAGTTCCCGCAAAATCATCCCAGTACTTTAG